GCGTCTGCGGGTGCTACAGGGTGGCAGCAACGACATCTGGGCCTCCACCGACATCTGCGAGGGTGGGCATCGCTTTGGGGGGCAGCTAGATAAAGTTCTTTAACCAAAATACTTACCTCTACGATTTTTCCTGACTTTTTAAGGCCCTTTATTTCTTTTGCTCAGGAAATACTGTTCTTCCGTTGTCATCTTGATGCGGATCAAGCTTAAAGTGAGAAAGCACAGAACATAATTTGCCAGAGCCTACGTTGTTTATACTGTGCAGTAATTTCAAGTGTCTGAGATGTGGCCTGAGCTAAACCTAGCCACTGCAGCAGCAGTGCTGTGAACCCTGGGGCAGAGGTGGCCTGTGCTAGCGTAGAGGGGACAGAGGTCCTTTTCCGTTCCTGAGGTGTTTGTGTCCTGCAGGATCCCAGGGTCCTGGACAGCATGCTCCCGTACCTGACGGCGTACTACGGGAACCCCCACTCCAGGACCCACGCCTACGGCTGGGGGAGCGAGGCTGCCGTGGGGGAGGCGAGGCGGGCCACGCCTACGGCGGGGAGAGCGAGGCTTCCGTGGAGCAGGCGAGGCGGGTGAGTCTGCGCTGCAGCCAGGATGTCTGCCTGCTGGCAAGGGAATTCAGCATCAAAAGAAAGTGAAAAGCAACAGCAGGACTGTTGTATTGTGTCCGTTGTCTGTGGGTTGTATTTAGCAGCTTCCTCTTTGCTTGCTTATACTTTAGCAGATTTGTTGCAAGAAAAAACAGTGAGATTAAATCAGTTGAAGTGGCAGAAACCAATACTTCAGGCAAAGGTGCCTCAGGACTTTTTGTTTCCTGAGGTCACAGGCGTGCTGCTGCACTATTTGGGCTATCTTCATGTTTTATCATTCTCCTAATCTTAGGAATGGGTCTTTGTCGTGTTTTCTAGAAGTGATATGTACTGGGCTTTTGTCTACTTAACTTTTATGTTCTTTCTTGAGAGGCTAATGCTTCACACCACTACTGCTAATCGGTATGAATTCCTTGTGTATTTTACATTAATGAAGATACACAGGCTGCTATACCTGTAGCATAACTTCTATATTAACTGTAAGCCTTTTAAAGCTTAAGGGGGTATTCCTGAAAACCTTTTGCATGTGCTTTGCTGTGGTGAATTCATTGTATTTTATCTTGCCAAATCAAATCTATATTTCTTTTTTAATAGCAAGTTGCGGATTTAATAGGAGCTGATTCAAGGGAAATTATCTTTACTAGTGGTGCAACAGAATCAAATAACATGGCAATTAAGGTAAAACATTTATAGTGATATTTGTTATGTTAAAATTACATTATCAAGAACTGTATGCTTCTCTCAACAGTTTAAAAGTTAAGATGTTTGCCTAGTTAGCAAATATGTGCGTTCCTGGACTTACTCCTTGTGGTGTTCCACTAGGAACAAGTGGAGAAAACGCTGGGATGTTTTGGTGCCCAGCACATGGTTTTCAGGACAGTGTATAATACTCAATGTTTACCTTACATGCAATAAATATGGTCCTCCTACTCCTGTAATTAAAATCTTTATCACAAAATGTAGTGGAGACGCTGATTACAAACTTTTTTCTGACTAAGACTAGGTATGGTGTGTGGTTGTTCAGACTTCTCATTGTCTATGACTCTATTATTGCAGGTGTCTCTTAAAAAAAGTATTTCTGTTAATAGTTTCTGAAATGTATTAACATTTTCACAGGCTTTTTGAAAAGTGAGGTGCTTTTAAAAATAAGTGCTGATGGAAATGTGTAGTGTGAAGTACTTGTCATACCTCTGAACTTTGTGACTTGGAGGCAAATGAATTGTATCTGAAAAGTCATTTCTTATTTCCCTTCATTTTGTGTAGAGTTTGTTTTCTCAGTGGTCTAACAGTGAATTTCTTGTTTGTGGATTGTGCTGACAGGGTGTTGCAAGGTTCTACAAATCCAGAAAAAAACACATCATTACTACGCAAACAGAGCACAAGTGTGTGTTGGATTCCTGCCGCTCCTTGGAGGCAGAAGGTTTTCGGGTCACATATCTACCTGTTAAAAAAAATGGGCTCATAGATTTGAAGGTAGGTTGTTTACGGACAAAAAGAAAATTAAAATAGAAGAGGCTGTAGCTTCAGATGGGATGACAAACGTCATAGGGCAGAATGAGAGTCACAGTCAAATCCATCACGGTCAGAGAAGGATTTTCTGTTCTCTCTGGTGCGCTAGACTTTCTCAACCAAAAAGTCCTCCTCATCCCACCGTTCACCTGCTGTTGTTCACACCCGTGCAGCAGAGCTGTTGCATAACCTGTGGAGAGCCTGGTACATGACTACAAATGGAGCTGGCTTTGATAGAGGAACTAGTGGTGAAATTTCATGACCTGAGCTACTCAAGGCATCAGACACAGTGATAATAATGCTACCTTCCAATTGCTCTCCATGAACTGACCCTCTGGGGTGTACTGGCTGCAGTCCTGGCGTTTAGAAGCTGCTTATGCTTCTCTCATGGTTTGTCCTGTAATACAGGATGGTGTCTTGGCTATTTCTAGCCTTGTCCTCTTGCCCGGAGGGATGTTGTATGTGTCTGGTGGGGCAGGGGGGTGAGACCTGCAGGCACAGCAGCAGTAGTCGTGTTCTCTGAGAAATTTGCTGGCAGACTCCTTGCGTGCATGATGCTTTCCTGTATGTACTGCAGTTCCTCTGTAGCCAACATCACTGTGCCTAGATGTTGACTCGGCTGTTTTGTGGGTGGGTAATTCGTTAAAGAAAGCAGTGCAGAGGAGTGTGAGACATAGCAAAGGCCTGTTCTGATTGTACTTAGTCAGGTCGGGTGTCAGGGTACATACCAGGGTCAGGGCATACAGAAATGCAATGGATCACACTCCTTCCTAGGGGAATTTTGTGTTCACGTGGATTAGTGCTCTCACCAGCACTGTTTGTCAGAACCCAAGGGTTTTGTTGATGATGTGCTAGGCAAGGGGCTGGTGGTTAGTATTTGCTAGCAAATAGGTGTTGCACGGGAATCTTACTTCTGCTGTTAGTCATAATGTTTGTCTGTTTGAATACTTCATCAGGAGTTGGAGGATGCCTTCCAGCCGGATACGAGTTTGGTTTCTGTAATGACTGTGAATAATGAGATAGGAGTAAAGCAGCCAATTCATGACATTGGTGAGTACACCACAGCTTCCAGAGGCCAGCTAATGCTGCTTCTGCTTCATTTTAATTAACATTTTCATACCTGAGTGCTACTGATGCAAAAGATTAGGTGTACTGTAGTTAAGGAATAAATATTATTGCTGTCCCAAATACAAGCATACTTTAAAAGGGAAATGAGGGTGAAGTTCAGTCCTTTAACAGTACGTATTGCAGCAGTTACAGCCTTGTTGTGCAGATTAGCTGTAGTGTTTCTAGTTTCATTCTGAATTGTACAATGGATGAACAAGTTGCACTGAGTAACTGGGCAAATTCAGTTTACATGATGTAATGGTTTATTGAGCACTCTTAGTGTTCAAGAGTGTGTGGTGTTCAAAATGTGCAGAATTTGGGACAGCAGGGGATGGTGAGCACCACACCCCTTCTGCCCCCAGTATTGCCATACATGGTTGAATATACATTGAAGCATACATACACTGAAGTGTACATACACACTGGAGGTAAAGCCGGCTTGTACTGTCCTGGTGTTGAGAAGAAAAAGAATCAAGAAATAAAAAAGCCATTTTGACTAGCTGTGGAGTCATCACTGTGGGAAAGCTTGGGTGTCCTGTGCAGCCATTTGTACTGAAACCTGATACGTGTAGGTTTGGAAACAATCTCGCTTCTTAACAGCAGGAGACTCTTTAAAGTCTCACCTGAGAAATTCACCCTAGTCTTACCTGCGGACCTGACTAAACCTGTGCCCAGTGAGGCCTCAGCTGGAATGACCCTATGCAGCTTTAGACACTTTGCAGTAAAAGAAACATGACAGCACTCGTTTCTTCCTTTGTCACCTTAGAACTGGTGCCTACCCTAAACTGATGCTTTAGATTTGTTGTTGCAGTCGCTGGAATCATAATGACTAGATGAGAGAATGTGGGCTTCTTGCTTTTGTGTCCTTACTGCAGGTGAGATCTGCCGCATGCGGAAGGTGTTCTTCCACACAGATGCTGCACAGGCAATTGGCAAAATTCCTGTGGATGTCAATGACATGAAAATTGATCTCATGAGCATCAGTGGCCATAAAATTTACGGGCCAAAAGGTACTTACTGAAATGCTTTTCTAGAGAATTGTTGTTTCCATGCCCACACAAGGTACAAAGTCAAACCTGTTTGTCATAGTGACTGTTACTTAAACTATAGAAAATTATTCTAAGACTGGTATTGGACTTCACTGAAGGAAGAAATAGTATCTTGTAAGGGTGTCAGCTTTAGGAGGAGTGGCTTTTCAAGAGTCATTTGCTTGATGTAAAGCAGCATTGATGCTGAAACAGTTGAAATTAAATCACTGGATTGTAGGGCAATGTTCAGACCCAAGTGTAACTTGTAACAAGGAGATTAAAAGGTAACTGGAAAGTTTAGATTCTTAGTGATTTTGGTTGTGTTCTGCTTCAAATGGCTTCTCCCTCTCAACCCCATTTGTGCTTCTTCACCTTTCTTAATAATACAGCTGTTTATTTTCTAGTTGACTCCCAAATAATAAAGGTTCAACTATTATTACTGTCACAGTCCATGTAGTTTGTGACACTGGATGTAGAAAGACAGGTTTGCTGTATGTTGTGTGCTATTTGGAAACAAAAGGCAAAATTATTATTTTTTTCAATATGTTTTCTTCTTCTGTGTGACCTCTCCTGAGAGCTGAAGATGTACCTCTGGACAAGGACTGAGTTTTCAATCAATAACTTTAGGCAGTTGGCAAACATACATTTTCACAACGTACTATGAACACAAGTTGCAGCCATTCTTTCTGTGTTGACAGTGGAAAGCAAGTTTCTATGTGAGGAGACCAGAGTGTAAATCTGGGTGGCTGTCAAAACTGGCTTATCTAATATGTCTGTTGGAATCTTGTGCCACTGATGAGTCTCCCCAATACAAAGAAAGGAAGAGGACTTCTGGGATTGGTGCTGGTCTGGTAATCTCGGAAAAGTTCTTCTAGAGCTCTGAGTTGAAAGTCAGTAAGGGAATATCAATGCATGAAATACCTGCGCATAAAAACTTCAGTGCAAAGGGATGAGCCCCAGCTGTGCACAGAGATTGTGATAAGCAGGAGAAGTACTGAGTCCTTGGATGGCTGAAGCACACTGTGAGAAACCAAGCTTCTCCCGTGGCTGAAGCTCTGAGAGTGTGGATGAAGAGAACATGAACAGTGGGAACAGACACTTCCTAGAAAATATTGTGCTTCTGTATATGTTTGCTACATTTTTCTCCAGTGAGGTCTCCAATTACCTGTTTGCTGTGGGAGTATGGAATGTTTCCAAAGCTTGGAAAGCTTTTCCATAATTTCAGAATTGTGCCTGTGTACTAAACCTGCTTTCCTTGTTTCCAAGGGGTTGGTGCCATCTATGTTCGCCGTCGCCCACGCGTCAGGCTGGAGCCCCTGCAAAGCGGGGGAGGCCAGGAGAGGGGACTGCGGTCTGGGACTGTGCCCACTCCGTTAGCCGTGGGCCTTGGGTCAGCATGTGAAGTGGCACAGCAAGAGATGGAGGTGGGTGGGGGAAGATACTTGTCCTGCGTTCCAGCAAATAATATAACAGGGCCAGTTAGGTCTTAGATCCCTTAGGTCTGTTTGTGTCTATGTGCCTGAATGAAATTTGATACTTCTGTTATAACATAAAGTAAATGTTTTGAGATCTTCAAGGATGTTTTGGGGTAATTGGTAGTTGATTTTCAGCTTTCTTAAGTTTCTTTTTTCTTGAAGTGGTTTGAATCAATAGGTTTACAGTTGACAGTTTCAGTGAAATACAGCTTTAAGTGCTTGTACTCATCTCTCCGTTCTGCACACACGTATTAGCAGCATTTCTGAAATGGAGTAAGTCATGTTTATGTAATGTATATTTAAAAAAATACTTCCTAGTCCATTGTCGTACCTATTAAAGGTATACAAGTTCAAGTTTACTGCAGCTTTGCAACTAAGAATTTATCTTTTTTTTCCTAGCTCAGACACTACAGATCAATTGTTAGTTCTGGTGTCTGAACTTCTGTGTGCTGCTGCATCTGTTTGTGAGAACCAATGCATTCTTAAAGCAGGAGTGTAAAAATGCTTTAGTATAGTGCCAGTGGGATGCATAAGCCAGACATCTGTACACATAGGATCAGACTTCTTCCTGGGAGGCAGGCAGGGATCTGCTGTCTGAGCTGGATGCTTACGGAAGCCTTGTTACAGACCGGAGAGCCCGCAGAGCCGGAGTTCTGCACGAGCCTCAGGTCTGGATTCTCCTCCTTGCCTAGCAGAGTTTTGGTGTTTCTAAACCACATAATATTTGCGATAGCCTTGTTTTCTTCTAAAGCTTTTCAAGCATGTAAACAAACAAGCACAAATTACGTGCCTGCGCTCGTGCTGGTCCCATGCCTTACTGCTTTTTCAGCACAAGTGACCGAATTTTTTAGTCTTGAATGAGACGCTGCACACGGGCAGCTCCCATTGCCTGGGTATGTGTTGATAAAGCTGAGTTCACAATGATTTGGAAGTCCGTGTCTTTGTTGTACAGTTTGAGAGCTCTGAGGGAAATACGGGGCACTTACTGCATTAGATGTCCTTTCTTGTGCTGCAAAATGTGTCACCTCATGTATTACCTACCCTGTCTTTAAACACAAAGAACTCGGTGCTTTTATGGAAGCAAATTTGGCAGCTTGTATATAGAGATCTTTCTGAATGGCTTGGAAGATTTTTGAAGGCTGAGCTAGCTAGGACCAAATTGGTAATTGTCTTTTAAAGCATTCTTTAGAGTAGGCAGTTTGACAATTTCTTTTTAAGTTTCAGATGTGTTCTTTGCTTAGTCTAACCAAACGCAGCTACTTCAGTCTGCTCATGGTAGGTGATACAAAGCAGTCTGAGTGAGGTCAAACTGTGCACAATTTGTTATTTTGGTCTCTCTTATGGTTTCTTTGCTAGTATGACCATAAGCGAATCTCACAGCTGGCAGAACGACTGGTTACAAAAATAATGAGTGAAGTTCCTGATGTGGTTATGAATGGAGATAGAGACCATCGTTACCCAGGTAACATCAGCGAAACCCTCAGCCTGTTAGAACTTTTTAGCTGCTTGGTGTTAATGGCCATGGATGAATAATGCCGTTCACTACATAGCTACACGTTATGCAAGTATTGCCATGGGGTAGGGATTTGCCCTAGATTACAGTTGATAGAGGAGTGGTGGTTTGTTTGTTTGGTTTTTTACTATTTTTATTTATTTGTATGCAGGATGCATCAATTTATCTTTTGCCTATGTGGAAGGGGAGAGTCTTCTGATGGCTCTGAAAGATGTGGCTCTGTCTTCAGGAAGGTAGGTGAAATGTGTGGGAAGGATAGCAGTATATTTGGGAGAGAAAATAACATCTGCTAGTAGAGGTACAAACTAAGGAATGTCTGTGCCCTGTATTTGCATATTCATTTAACGAGTCAGCCTGGCATTGATTACATTCCAAGGTGGTGTTTCTGTGAAGTGGCACATTTCAAATGAAGGTCAAATTTACTCATTCTGAAAGAAAAAAAAAAAAAGTAAAAGAAAAATGTCAAAAACCAAAACAAAACACAATAAAACCACCACAACCCAAAAGCAGGAGAAAAAACAACCTAGAAGTTCCTACCTGCCAGCCTTGCAGACTGGCTACCTCTGTCTGAGTAGCCTTGACTTGCAGCTGCCCATGACACATTCTGAAGCCTGTTAGCATTTGAGCAGCTTCTGTCCTTCAGCAGAACGAACGTCATGCAAGTGGCACGTAGTAGCTAGACTCTGACAAGGCTGGACAAATACCTGAGTTAAATTAGCTCATAGTGCTTGTGTTTCATGCAAAAGTAGCAAGAAAACTGAAGGTGGTTTTACAGAGCTCTGATTCTCCAGGAGTGGTGAGTAACGTTTCGTTACTACGACAAGCTCGGTGCTTAGGATGAAGTTGATGGACTATAAAGACACCTTCCTTCCCTCACCTTTGAGAACAAAGCAGTCAGCATCTCCTCATTAGGAAAATGCTGGCACTAGAAACAGGAAGAACAAGCTTCCACGTGACTGTCTCTGAAGCTGAGCACTTCTGTTATTTGAAAATCTTTTCTGAGGCTTGTGTGCCAGCGAGCTGTAAGCTCCCGTTCCTGCTGCGTGTTGCTACCTGTGAAATCAAGTAACGACATGTAACCAGTTTTGCCTACTGCTTCAGAGTGGGAGTTCTTTGAACCCATGACTATAATTAGATCACCTTGCTCTAGATTCTGCTGTGCACTGTTTCATTTATTTGTTTTGCTGCCAAAACAGCAGCTTTTGAAGTCTTTCTTTTTTAATGTTCCTATTGATATGTTGCCTTCTTTGGCTAGTCCTGTCTTGGCTTGTTTGTATTTTTTTTCATGGCCTTCACTTGGGCTACCTTTTTGTCTGCATTTCTGCTGCTTCTGGGATTGTATTTATTCTTACTGCATTGTCTGTGTTATCTCTTCATACCTCACGCTCCTCACTTATTACCCTCCTTCCCCTCTATTGCCTGCCCATTCGCTGTCCTTTTCCTGCAGCAGCAGAAATACCATGCTGCTTGCTTGTGTTCACTGGTGCTGTCAACGAGTAGAATGAGGAATTCAGATGGGGAAGCTGGTAGAGATGGTTGTAAAGAGTCATAGTAATGTTGCAGTGTTACGTGTCTGGGGGTGACCTGCTCTTTGTTGGAGGAGGTTAGTGAAGTGTTACTTCAGTGGAGCATCTGCACATGAACAAACGTTGGACGTTTTCCTGCCTTGCCTTTCCCCAGTGCTTGCACATCGGCTTCTCTAGAGCCTTCCTACGTTCTGCGGGCAATTGGAACAGATGAAGACTTGGCTCACTCTTCTATAAGGTGCGTGTAGAGATCTTCCCTAATGCTTCCAAATAATTGTATTTTCTGCTAAAAGCAGGTGGTGGATTTGTTCCATCCCTCCATACGCATATTACTCTAGTCCTTAATGGTTTTCTTTTGGTTTAGATTTGGCATCGGTCGTTTCACTACAGAAGAAGAAGTGGATTATACAGTGCAGAAGTGCATACAGCATGTTAGAAGGCTGAGGGAAATGAGGTGAGCCATCTTATTGAGCGTAAAGGCTTCTTAGGTATGACAATCATTTGAAGAGTTGGATTTAATTGAAAGAAATTGTTTGCTTAAAAAATCTAGTGGTGTCTCTGTATATAAGCAAGCAGTCTTGCCAGAGTGGGTAGCGGGCCTTATCGTAAAAAGAGTGATGAACTTTTAAGGAAGCAAACCTGATAGCAAACCTTCTCCCAGATCCTGCCTTTGTCAGGGGAAGAATACAAACATCGCAAGCACTTAGGGCAGTACCCAGAAGTTTCTAAGCCAGAGACAGTATTACTGAATTTATGTCCTGATAAGTTGTGTTATGTTGGTGAAACTGAAAGACTCTTGACTGAGCTGGACACTTGTCTAAGAGACACAAGTACTTTATGCTCAAAGTGGGAGCAGGAAATGAAGAGGAGCACCTGACCTCTCACCTCCTGTATTTTGGGCTGAGAACATGTTTGATGACTTGTCATCTGAAACTTACTGGGTTCCAGAATGAGAGGGAGGATGGATAGATAGTTACCTTCTAACGTCTTCTGTAGCTGATGAAATTGTCTGGGTATTGCTGTTGATGTTATCCCATGCATTTTAGGTAGGCTTCATTTTTCTCCTTTCTTTACAGTCCTCTCTGGGAAATGGTGCAGGATGGAGTTGACCTTAAAAGCATTAAATGGACTCAGCACTGAGAAAACATCACTGTCCATGGACTAGATGTGGATGTGGATTAAAATGCATTTTCTGTACATTCCTGAACAAATTCTGCAGCACTTAGGTATTTTTTACACTTGCAATTTGACTGCAAAACTACCTTTTCTGATCACAAAGTCTAAGAAGTCAAAAATTAAAGTAGTCTCTGTTCTGGAGAAAGGCAGGATGATCTAACAGCCATTGCTTTATACTGACACAGAAATTTATGCCAAAATACAATTTATTTGGAAATACATTTTCTAAGAAGAAAATGCAGTCAGTGTGTTACTCCTGGGACAGTCGAGTGCTGGTGAGAGGCTCAGTGTAAAACATCCTGTGTTGCTGTTTGCAGCACAGATCTATTGTCAGGCCTTTGCTCTTTCTGAGGCAAGCATCCTACAACAGCAGCTGTTTTTTTGCCACTCAGATGGGTATACTGTGAGAAATTCTCCAGTAGGCAGAAGGCTGGCATTTTAAAGGGAAGGGGATGCCTCTGTGTGTCTGGGATTTTGCCATTAAGGTGTACAGGCAGTTAAGAATTTTTTTTTTTCTTTCCCTGAAACTGAGTATTTTTGACTTTTATTTTTTGGGTGGTGCTTTTATAGACCAGTGTGCATTAATCCAAAATGTCCATCTGTGTTACAGAGTTGATGATACAATGATGATGCACTTTGTCCCCTCCGTTTTGTGTTTTCGAGGCAATTTTTTTTTTTTTTTTTAAGTAAGGAAAGAAAATTTGGATGACTGAGGGAGGGAGATAGGCAAAACCTATCAGCTTTAGTTGCAGTACTGGTGGTGGAGGTGGTGAGAGAAAATAAAGTGCAATCTCTTAAAGCAGTCTGGGTTTTTTGTTGTTTTGGGGTTTTTTTCCTCCCCTTGTGATGGGTGAGTCCTTTGCTGTTACTCAGCTTGCCTATGGGCCTCTGTCACTTCAGGGAGCCTTGCCCAGCTGAGCCTGGATGCTTTGTCTGAAGACAAGAACATGTGGCCCTGGAGGTTTCTTTGTGGTACACTGTACTTCTGTCTGACTCAAGACTGGCATGGGAATTCCTTCCCTGCAAATGCTGGGGGAAGGTGTCTGTTCAAAAGGGTCTGATGAGATAAACTCACATCAGTGTTTTTCTTACCTTTGTTGATTTTTCCAGTGGGAAATTTAACCCTGTATTACCAAGTGCCTTTGTTTCAGTTGCGTGAGCAGACAGCTCTGGAATTAGTTTTGATAGATGGATATTGTATTAGCTGCTGAATTTAAGGCGCCCTACAGAGCATAGGTCTCCAGTTCTGGGTGGTATCCACCTTGAGGATGAACTGTGTAGTGTAAGAGCTGAAGCTAAGGCTCAAGGTGGATTATGTTACAGAAGATTCTGCTTCTTTTTTTTTTTCTTGTTACCAAGGTCAGATTTGGTTGTTTGTAATGCAAAGCTAATCCTCAGCTTTGTGTTTGAAATTATTAGCTTTAGCAGTTTTAACATCATAGGGTTGGCACCTTATATTTCATCACAACACATAAAACTCTTGTATGCACTGTGTTTTATCCTCGGGCTGCATGTGTTTTCTGGCTGAAGCATGTGATAACACTTTCGCAGCATGTTTTAGAAATGTCTTCATGAAATTGTTCTTTGTGTGTCATGGATGATAAAAAATTATAGATCTGGCTTAAAGTTGGCTACTCGTGGTGTTTTCAGATCCACCTTTCTGGCTGAACCATGCAGCAGAACTGATACATTGATAAATTGCTGCCTTTCATTAGAGAACAGATGAAGATAAACTGTTTTCTGTGGACACTGTTAGAAGCTTGCTCTGTCATAAAGTTGACATTTGACTCCTGAGGAGTCATTCTTCTATAACTCATGGCCTCATCTGAGCTATTTTTTTTTCTTTTTTAGACTCAAATAGCTTAAATTGTGATTATTTTGAGGAATAGGGAGCTTCAAAACTTGAAGATTCTGACCACCTCTTATGTGTCAAGATGTTAATATAAATTTGAAGGGCTGGGGTTTAAACCCCCAGCCCTGAATGAGGGTTGGCATAACACGAGAACTATCACTTTAGTATTTCTAAATGCTGACAGAGCGTATCAGCTAACTACAAAAATTACTGAATATTTCTCCAGGAAGTGTAATTCCAAACTGGACAGTTCTGTTCTCGGACCTGTTGGACCCGTTTGGGACTTGAGGTGACAGAGAGGAAGAGGGTCAGTTACCAGATCTGTTGACAATGTTATACAGCCATCCATAAACATCTTGGGGTTTTTTAAAAAAAAAAAAAAAATTAACATAAATGCTGTTGCTTCCAACAAAATACCACCTCTTAGCTTGAATATTCTGGCTTGATGTTTTTTCTGGTGTGAAGTTAGTCATGGTCCAACTGTTTTCAGTCAGATTGTTTCTGCTAAAAACATGGATGCCCTGTGCCTTGAAATTATACAGTTCCCTGAGGCCAAGTCCCAGGAGGTTGGTCTAAGAGATCTCTCGTCCGCTAAAGACAGTTTTGATTTAATTTCAAGATGGTGTATAACGTCCTGCACTGGAAGAAAGTAAATGCTAGTTTTTAGAATGGACAAGCTGAGTGCTTGGGAGAACTGAGTCCAGCTCCTATCTATCCATAAACAGTAATAAAAAAGACTGTTACAAGATGTTTTTACAAGAAGAAAAGCTCATACTAATGGGATATCAAAGTGCTTTTGTGCTGAGAAGGTGCAGTAAAACCAACTTGTTTAATTTAAAAATAACTATACAGGATCAGTAAGGCACATCATAGCTGACAGATTTTAAGTATAGACTAGAGGCATCTCAGGATTATTTCCACTGAACATTTTTTTTAAATGATCTGGAAACAATTAAGACTTGCAGCTGACATGTAGTGATCAGAAAGGAAAATAAAAAGTAGTATGAATCATTAAGTAACCTGATTCATTCACCTAAACCACATCCTTATACAGATGAAGGAGTAGGGTCAGAGGTTGTCTTTACAGAATGGTATCTCTAGGGTGCTGGAGAAGCAAGGAGCCTGCAGTTTAGAGCAATGCTTCTAGACTAATGGTGTAGCAAACATATAATTCAAGGAGGAAGACATTTTTATTTCAGATCTGGAATTTGCACAACCAGTGCTGGTTCCCTCAAGCTTTACTTAGAAGTGTCCTGTGTACATTTTTTCCCTAGTTCCACACCTAATAACCTACTTCAGTTTTGGTTTAGGTGGAAGAGATGGATAAATTTGTGCAAGCTCAGCTTTTCTCCGCATGCCTTCCACCACGTGCATGTTACAGGGGAGCATGTTGGACATGGCTCCCACAGATCTCCGTCCTTGAACCGTCTGCCTACCAGTGTTGCTTTCCAGAGACACTTTCACCCCCTGCTGTTGGTGCCTAACTGCATCATGCTGCCTGCTCCTCTGATACCACTTGGTTACTTGACATACTCCCAATACTAGTCCAGGATTTTGTTTCCTCTCATCCCCTCTACAAACAACTCTGCTTCTGTTGGTATAAATATTCTCTCCCCGTGAGAATTTGGATATGGCTGAGGAGACAGCTGGAGAACTGTGGAGGTCACCTCTGTCACAGGCACCTGTTCCAGGCTTCACTCCAGCTGAGCTGCAGCACAGACCAGAACGCTTGAGGTGCAAGGACATGTTAGTCTGCAGCAGCTGTCCAGGGCATCAAGACTTGATGATATCCAGTGTGTGTTTGTGGAGTCAGTCTAAAGAACTACCGAGTATTATGTAATTTGGTGGTACACACAGGAAAATTCACAAGTCTCTCCACCAGACTTTATTCAGCAACAAAAAGCAATGTGGTGACTTACCACATTGCACAAAAGCTGAACAGTATTAGGTTTCTTCTGACTTGGGATCCTCCAGTGCTGCTCTTCAGCTATCCTACACCCCCCTGCTGCAGGGTGGCTGGTGCATCTCGGGCAGTGCTGCAGGGTGAGGCCCTGAGCTGAAGATGCTCCTGCTGCCCCTCGTGTACCTTAGGCAAGCAGCTCTCCAGTGGGTCTGGTGAGCCTGGGTGGCTGTGGATACCTCTGTTGACTCCAATCTCCAGCTCCTCTTGGATGCGTTGAGTGGTGCCTGCTGACATCTAACCCTGACTAGTGTCACTAATATTATAAAAAGACAAATTACTGGATATTACCTACAGCAATCAAGGAGCGATGAGTATCTAGATGGCATACCTAGCAAGACAAAAAGGAAGTGTTAGCTTGACAGAACTGTCAACTTTTCAGAGCAGCAGTTACCATAAATACCACGTAAGATTACAAAATCTGTAAAAGTAGGGGTAATAGGGAGAAAATAAACAAGTGTGTGGGCTGTTTATTGGAACAGGATGAGGGTCAGTAAAGGAAAGAAATTTGGGAGTAGAAAGGGGATAAACAGGGCAACAAATCATGGCAGCACTTATTGTGATGCTGAGCAGCACAAGGCCTGATCCTATTGTCTCAGGACAACACATTTGTCACAGTTTGGCCTTGGTCTCTGTTCAGTGGTGAAAACCCACAAAGTTAATGAATTTATGAACTCCCAGATTTCCTGGGAAAGTGTTTGCAACATGAGGCCTTGATTTATTTCAATTGGTTTCTTGCAGCAGACTATTCTGGGTCTTTTTAATTGAAAATGGATGTTGCTGCAGTACCGCATCCACTGAGGCGCAGTGACAGAACATCTGAAGGGTGCCTGGCTGCTCCTGGCCCAGGGACACCGTCTAGTTCCTTGTATCGCCTGTGCGGTTAGTCAAGCAAGGAACAGACACAGCACGGGGCACCGACACAGCGTGACCTGGCTGCCAGCCTCACTCTGCCGCCCGACCCTCAGTGAAGAGCCAGAAACCACCAGGCTCCCTTCGCTCGCGGGAAGCCCGGTGCAGCCTCTGGAGCGTCTCCGCCCCCGCACAGGCCCCCCCAGCTCCGCACGCCTCGCCCCGCACAGGCCCCGC